TTGTATGAAGTACGAGTACGAGCTAAACTGAAGTTTCCAAGCACAGTATATAACAATATACCTGCATATGTTAAAGAAGGTGTAGTTTTGTAGCTAATTCCAACCAAAAAATCTTGATAACCAAATTTCCAACGACCTTTCCTGGGCTTGAAAATTTAGTTATAATTTTAGGGAGTTACAAATATTGACAAATGTAGAAAAGCAGCTTATGGGTTGGTCAAATGTTAGAATAAATAGCTACAAAGTGTAAATAATGACGATAAAGATAATATTAACATTTATTCTAAAATTTTTATATCTGGTCTATTTAAAATGATGTATGTATTAATAAAATATTTATCAAAAATTTATTTTAAATTTAATCAAAGTACTGATTTTTCAAATTTTTAAAATACGCCAAACCAATAAAGTCAAAAATCTGTTCAGGTGAACGCATAACGCTAAGATTTTTATAATGTATAAAGGCCTAGAAACTAGAATTAATAATTGTTTACGGAACAGGCAAAATACCGAAATTTTTGAAGGCCAAAAGTCAGAAATCCTCTTTTTATCAAAAATACATAAAAGTTTGGCGTTTAGTTTTAAAAAAATTGATGGGAATTTAATCACAGAATCGTTTGCTCTAATAAATTTATTAAACAAAAATAATAAAATTTCGAGTGTGAGGTAAATGACGTTGAGTTTACAAATTTTCTAAAAAATTCTTTCGATATCCCCCCTAATACACAAATATCGCCCTTAACACAAATAGTTTTACAAACAAAGACAAAATCACCATTTTTTAAATTTATTATAATATAATATAAAATTGTTGAAAAATATAATCATTTCCTATGATGCCTCCATAGACTTTCGTAATTCTCGCTCTTCTTCAATTGTATCAGACAGTTCCAAATCAGCAATATCATCAGCATCAGCAGCAAGGAGTACCAATCGTGATTGATATGTCTTAAAAAATAATTTTTCCCTCACAAAAATTTACAAAAAACAAAAAAAATAACGCGAATAATCTCTGCTCCAAAATCCATTCTGCAATAGCTGGCATCATTAAAAGCATTTTGATTTGACAATTTTTGTGAGGACGCATAAATTTTTTTGGGGGTGCCAAATCAAGCGGGTGGAGTGTGTCCCTGAAAATATTATAAAATTATTATTAAATATATTATAAAAAATAAAATATTATAAAATATATAAAATATTATTAAAAATACCTATAATCAGCCATATTAGCCTCATCAGTTAAACTTATTTGTTCGTCAATAATTATCAATTCGTTTTCGTTTGCGCCGCATTCTTTCATGATGTTGCTGCTGTTCAAGTTGCTGCTGTTCCCTAACAAGAACTTCTCCTAATGTATCCGTTTCTGATGCCATTCTCCCTTTGCAATGTTCTGTTTCACAAACAAATCACCGTACGAAGACGGGATAACGTCTCAGAGTTGACGCATTGAGCCAAATTTGCTGCAGTTTCTACACCCCTGACCAAGACTACACGTCGAATAGATTTTCCTTTGCTCTGTGGAGGTTGTGGCCGTCGCTTGACTTTCAAAAATTTTCTAGTAAACAAAACGGTCGTTGAGTTCTGAAAAAGATAATTTCTTTTTTTCTTTTCCTTCAGGTAATCCGTAACATTCACGTCAGGAACCTAAACCTTGGAACCGTTTGTACTTTGAAAAGGTAAATCACCTAGCCAACAAGGAGAAAATCCAAAAAAATCCTCAAAATAATCTCTAAAAAAATAATCTCTGTCTTCAATCATTTGCATTCTATCTCCATCCATATTTGATGTTGGATGTTGAAATTGTGATAGATTCGAATAACATGAAGTTTTTCTTGCTTAAATTTCTTCCGCAAGTTTCACAGCTAAACATTCTTTGTACAACGTTCCATAATCCTTCCATAATCCAAAGACAACGTCACCGGAATCTTCCATTAGATTTTTATGAACGCTCAAATCAATAAATTATGTCTAAATAAAACAAAATTCTTTGTACAACGTTCCATAATCCTTCCATAATCCAAAGACAACGTCACCGGAATCTTCCATTAGGCTCTTCACCGGAAGGTTTTCTCCAAGAAGTTTTCGTATGGCAGCCTGGTATTGTTCCATTTCTAGTTCTGAAACTAGATTTTCGTTGGTTTCAATAGGCGCACTTTCAGGACGATCCTAAAAAACTACAAATTTTATTCAAAAATTTACAAACCTCTACCCGAGAAGTCTTCTCCAGCAACTGTCTGATTTTCGTTGGTTACAACAGGCGCACTTTCAGGACGATCCTAAAAAACTTTACAAATTTTATTCAAAAAATTATTAAACCTCTACCCGAGAACATTCGTCTCCAACAATCGTATTCAGCAATATCATTAGGATAAGCAGCACGGAGTTCCAACCGTGATCGATATATCTAAAAGATATTCTTCCCTACAAAAATTTCAAAGTAACAAAAAAACTAACGTGAATAATCTCTGGATCCAAAATCCATCCAAAAATCATCCATCCAAAATACATCCAAAAATCCATCCAAAATCCATTCTGCATTAGCTGGCATCATTAAAAGCATTTTGAATTGACAATTTTTGTGAGGACGCATAAATTTTTTTGGGTCTGATTTCCTCATCAATTAAAATATTTTTGACAAAAATATTTGACAAAAATATTTACAATCCACCGAAAGGCTGGTGTTTCGAATCCACCCAGGAGCGCCATGTCGTAATCAATTAGGTCCAGTCATTGGAATATTAGAGGGAGAAGCTTCTTCAACATTTGAATCAGACAGTTCCAAATTCCGTTCAGGAATATCATTAGCATCAGCAGCATGGAGTTCCAAACGCGACTGATATATCTTAAAAGATTTTTTTCCCTCACAAAAATTCCAAAGAAACAAAAAAACTAACGCGAATAATCTCTGGATCCAAAATCCATTTTGCATTAGCTGGCATCATTAAAATCTTTTCGAGTTGACAATTTTTCTGAGAACGCATAAATTTTTTTGGGGGTGCCAAATCAAGCAGTGTGTCACTGAAAATATTATAAAATTATTATATTATAAAAAATAAAATATTATAAAATATATAAATTATTAAAAATACCTATAATCAGCCATATTTTCCTCATCAGCTAAACTTATTTGTTCGTCAATAATTAATATTGATTTCCGTTTTCGTTTACGCCGCTTTTTTTCATAATGTGGCTGTTGTTCAATTCGTATCTGATCTTCTTTCATTTTTCTTAATCCAAGATTTGTAGAGTTAAAAGTATTTTTATCAGGAAATAGAGAATTTGAATTCATTTGAATTCTATCTCCATCCATAATTGCTGTTGAATGTTGCAATTGTGAAGGATGAGAAGGAAGCATATTTGGCAAAGTAATTGGAGCACGAGGACGGACATCGGGTAATAAAGAGATAAGTGTAGCTGGAACAAATGGAGTTGTAGGTGGACTTGTTGTATTTTGCATAAGACCTATCAAAGAGTAAAAAATTTTTTTTCAAAGTTTTTTAGACACTAGTAATTCCCAATTAAAATCTTAATTAAAAACCTGATTGAGTAAAAATATTCAAATCGGCATAATTAAAATCAGGAATTGCAGGAGTTTGAACAGAACTTCTTGAAGGCAGCTGCAAAGCTTGTTGTGAAGAAAAGGCAGGCAACGCTGAAAATGCAGAATCTCTTCCTCCAGTAGTTGATAATAAACATTCATCAGAATGCTCTTCAATTTTCCTAAAAAGAACTTCTTTTGATGTAACCGTTTCTGATGCCATTCTCCCTTTGCAAGGTTTTGTTTTACAAACAAAAATATGATCTCCATTTATTTTTCTTTTTTATAATACAATCTAAAATTATTGATGATAAGCGTTGGCTTCTTTTGGTTTGTTTTAATTTTAACTAGTTCGCCTTTCATTAAACTCGCTGAACTGGTGGTTCGAATCCACCCAGGAGCGCCATGTCGTAATCAATTAGGGACCACTACCACTTTAAAAAAGAATTTTAGAATGAAATTATGGGCGTCTGTGTCTAAAATTTTACCAATAATAAGCATTCTTTAGAATTCTCAATAATTTCTCTCACAAAAACTTCTACTGGTGCATCAGTTTCTGATGCCATTTTGCCATTGCAACCATCTAAGTGACAAACAAAAATATGATCTCCATTTATTTTTCTTTTTTATAATACAATTTAAAATTATTGATGATAAGCGTTGGCTTCTTTTGGTTTGTTTTAATTTTAACTAGTTCGCCTTTCATTAAACTCGCTGGACGAAAAGCTTCAGAAGGATCTTCATTTGTTTTGCGTGCAGTTACAAGCTTCGTAACAAAATATTTAGCAAATAATTTGTTAAAATGGTTGCCTTCCTTCATGAGTTCGTTGATTTCTTGGGTCTGAAAATGTTTTGTGAATTTTTCGGGAAATATGTGAAATGGTACTACTCCGTTATGCCTACTCGTTCTTGCGGACTTTTTTGCGGACAACTTTTATTTATAAAAAGAAAATATAGAGAGAAAAATTATAAAAGAAAGAATCATTCCAATCGGCAATATTTCCGCCTCTCCTCTCCTCCATATTCCTTCAAATAAACTCGGCAAAACAACTCTACAAATGATGTCGTGCTGTTTTTGAGTATTACACCCAGTCTTTTGATCAATAAATGGTAATATTGAACTTTGTGCCCCCTCCCCATTTTTTTTGCTACAGAAAGTGGTACCCATCTTTATTTTTAAGAACCAGTGTCAACATTGGGTGTTTGGACCGTCTCTTCTATTTGCAATAGGTGGTGGGGGTACGAAGTTTAACATTGCCAAACTGGACGTAGTTTGTGGTACAATTTCATCTCATGACCATTACGGCACTGTCTTGTTTTGTGTAGAAGATTACGGATATGAAAAATCCGATGGAATCTTTTTCGGTTGCCGGCAAGTCCCAAATTTTCAGTATAAAATCAATAGCTAATAAATGTAAAAAAATATGTAAAAAAGTTAGACTGTTCTGTTTCCATCATTTACTCATCTTTTATTCACTAAATTTAATCGTTTGATTGCTTGACATGGAAAGGGAGAAGGCAATCTGACTATGTACAGACTGCAGAAGGAAAAAATGTCCGCAAAAAAGTCCGCAAAAACGGGTAGGGATAACGGAGTAGTACCGTGAAATGTTAGTTTTGTTCGAAAAAAGTCCAATATTTTTATAAAGAAAAAAACCTTTTCCATGAGGTTATTAGTACCCAAATTGTTGCAGATAAAAGCAACTTTCTCAAAAACAACTTGTGAGGGTTGTTTGCCTTGTGTACCATCTCGCTCAGTCGCACTAACAAGAATGGCGACATTGGTGACATTTAACATGGAATTTCCCTGAAATTAAAAGGAATGGACTATTAAATTAATTTGGAAAGATTTTAATAAAGTATTAAATTTTAATTTAGAAAATCAATTATTTTTTAATTAAAAAAAAATAATTTTTTTTTTAATTTCAAAAATATAAAAGAAAATAACAGAATAAACTAGAAACATTAAAACAAAACAAAAAAACAGAAAAGTCAAAAATTACAATAAAAATACAAAATATCACAATAAACAAAAAATCGGAACCCGTATGAAATTCATTATTTTCAAAATTCTTTATCGTGTAATAAGCCAACCAAATAATTTACTTGAGAAGTAAAAGTAGCACGCAATTCTAATTCTTTCAATAACATGAATATTTGTGTCTGTACGGCATTGATTTTGAGGCAAAGGTGAATTTCTTGAAATTTTTTTTTATTTTTAAAAATTTTTTTAGCTATAGTTTAAAAATATGTTTGTCGAGCGAGATACCTAAAACCAGAAAAGTTTGGACAGCTAAAAAAAATTCTGACTTGAATACCGGACCCTGGTAACCATTCTTCTCTTAATTTTTTCCCCATTTCTCCCATTTCAGGGGGGGGGGGGTAATAATCCTTCGGTTGGGATGGAAAAAAGTAAAGGTTGAGAACACGGGTGGACGCAATTGAAAAAAATTTGCTTTAAAAAAAATTTGCAAAAAAAACAAGTAAAAAAAACACGCAATTTCATGCAATCCGCAATTGCGTCCAGCCCTGATTGAGAGCCTTTTTTTGATGCTCGACAAGCTCTAAACCCACATTTAAAAACACAAAAAGAAATTTTTTCTATTAAAAAAATACCATATCTATCCATTCCATAAAAAAGACGAATTTCAGTTATTCTATGTAAAGGTATACCCATAGCAATTTGAAGTTGTATAGCTGGAATGTTTATATTTGCAACCATTTCAGTACATAGATGTTCTACTTGAAGACGTGGAATGAATCCCAAAAAATAACATTTTTGTTCTGATGGTAAATACATGTACTGGAAATTAAAAAGAAAAATTAAAAAAAAATTTTTTTTTGAAAAAATTTTTTGCGGATTTTCTAAAAGTCATTAAGAAAAGTTGCAAGAAAATTCACAAAATATAATGGGAATAATTGCCGTTAAAATAAAAAAAATTTCATTCTAAAATATTTGGGGCCCGTACTATTTTGATTAGAAAAACTGAGCCAACGAACCGAACCAAATCTTTGGTTTTCAGTCTGAACCCTAGAACCAAAAACAATTCTATAATCCAAAAGAGTACCCCGTAAATAAAAATTAAAAATAGATGGAGGGGAGGAGGTAAAATATCATCCGAAACAATAAAAAGAAAAATTTTTTTGCAGACAATTTTTGCGGGTTTCAGGAAAAATTTTTTTAATAACAAAATAAAAACCTCAACAATCCCAGTACCAACATAACCAACTTTTTTTGCCAAATATACAGCATCTATTTTCATTTGACGTTGAATTTCTGGGGAGGCAATTCCTGCTGGGGAACAATCACGGGTAAATATTGGAATTGCTTGGACGTAATGGTCCCCAATTAATTGAACTTCTATATGTCTTGCATTGACCATACATCTAGAGGGGTAGAGAAAAAAAGAATTAATTTTATAAAAATAATAATAAACCGGAAATACATCGTTTTCAACAACAAATTTGTGAAAAATCACAACTCTCTGAAAACATAACCAAAAACTCTCAAATTTTGGGGGTTACTAAGAAACACTCTTAAGAATATATAATCAAAATTTCAAAGCTCTTAAACAACTACAAAAATTCCTATAACTATTTTTGTAAATGACATGGTGAATTATGCCCCAAATAAACACTTACTTCATCAAGAAAATATAACTTCCCGGCACCTCATCCTTCACTCTTTCAAAATTTTGACGAAATTCTTCATCACTAATACATCTTCTAATTCCTTTTCCACCACCTCCCTCAGATGCTTTTATCATTACTGGGTAAGAAATATTTTTTTCTTTCATTGCTGCCAAGCCTTCTTCAAATGTGGAGACACAAGCTTTTGAATACAATTCTTTGGAGACTTCTAATTCGCTTCCCCCTTCTTTGCTTTCTTCTCCAGTTGATTCAACTACTAATCCACTTCCAGACCATTGTAATGTTGGGATTTTTACTGTCTAAATTTGAAAAAAAAATAATTTTTTCTAAAGGTCCGAAGTTTTTGCGGACAAATTTTTGCGGATATTTTCTTACGGATTCCTAGATTTTTTGCGGATTTAAAAGAATCTTTGCGGTCATTATTAGCGCGCATTTTTTGCGGATAAATTTTTTGCGGACAATTTTTTAATAAGTTAAGTCTCTTTGAATTTTTGCAATTAAATCATCCCCATCCATAAACTTTTAAAAATTAGTTCCTAACAGGAAGTCCGCAAAAGCTTTCCGCAATTACCTTTTCAAGAAATATTTTTCACAAAAAACTCCACAAAAGACAATCCCCAAAGAATTGTTCAAACAATTTACTCGAAAAAATCTGTAGTTTTTCAGTAAGAATAAATCCGCAAAAAATTTTGTCCGCAAATATATGTATTTTCTCCGGAAAAAAAAATCAACAAACCTGAGCAATGATCGTGCTAGCAATTTTATCTCCCAAAGCAAAATTTGCTTTACTTTGAGGGCCAATAAAAACAATATTTTTTGTGCTCAATTCTTCGGGTAAACGAGGATCTTCGCTAGCATGTCCCCAATCGGCCCAGACTGCATCGACGTTGTTTCGTGTTGCGTGTTCAACAATTTCATCAACACTTGCATAATTATTTGTATTTGCACCGGCTAAGGAGGAAACGAGATAATCGGCCATTTTTAGAAATTCTGAAAAATTTGAAGAAAATATAATTTTTGCGGACAACTATCGCGGACTTTTTTTTGGTTTGGCAGTTTTAGGTGTTTAATATTTTGACCAGCAACAAAATCTAAAAAACCGCAGGAATTGTCCGTAGATATTTTTGAGAACGATTCTAAAAAGATTTGTCTACAAAAGACATTTGCGGACAAATCTTGCGGACTTTTTTGATATTTGTAGAAAAATACCTATACTTTAACTAGGAATGAATTTGTTTTACTCCCCTGCCCACAAGAAATTGTATCGACTTAAAAACGAGAACAAGTCGTACATAATACTAAACGCCGAAATACCAAACGTTGGAAAAAGAAGGGAAAGTCGCTTCAGCAACGACGGGGAAGATTGCTAAACAATTTGGAATGACAGTATTTCCTCAGATTGGTATTTCGACGGTTTTTGTAATACAGCATCATGCCTATACGACTTATGTATAACCTATTAGTGATCGAGCTGGGTCTGGATAAAATCCTGGGGGTAATTTTGAACTTCGTACCCCCCCCCCCTTTTTTTTTGTTTTAAAAGTATTAAAAATGGTCAGTCTGAACTCCAATTGTAGAACCCATCGAGCTGTGTCGAATGACACCAAAATTAACAAAATCTGACTTGATTTGACCGAGATACAGACCCCTGAAAATTGAACAACCACATGGGTGATTTTTTTAAATTAAAAAAAATTTAAGCAAATGATAGCTCATTCGACAGAGCTCTTCGAGCTGAGTCGAATGACAATAAAATCAACGTGATTAGACAAGATTTGACAAAGTTATGACATTATTTAGACCTACCGGAGTCGATGATTTATGTCATATCTTCGTCAAATCAAGTCGGATCACGTTGATTTTGGTGTCATTCGACTCATCTCGACGAGCTCTTTCGAATGAGCTATCATTTGTATACTTTTTCGTCCTTTTGGTTTTTCGACCCTGTGGTTGTTTAATTTTCAGGGGTCTGTATCTCGGTCAAATCAAGTCGGATTTTTTTGATTTTAGTGTCGTTCGACACAGCTCGTTGTGTTTTATAATCATCTTAAGACTGACCATTTGTAATACTTTTAAAACGAAAAAAAGAGGGGGGGGGGGGGTACGAAGTTCAAAATTACCATCCTGGGTTTTCCTGTATAAAGAGTGTAGACCCAGGCATTTTTTGATCTTCCTAGGGTTTTCCTGGGTTTTTTCTGGACACAGGCTCAGGCAAGAAATCAGCCCTAGAACTACCCAGGAGCTGGCTCAGGCTTTTCAAAAATCTCGATCACTAAAACCTATTAAACCCTTTAGAATCTCCTCCACAAACCTGATTTTGACTGAATTTGCTGTTCAGTAGTTAGACAAACAAATTCAATAATTCTGTCATTTCGGAAGAATTGCTTCAACAATTTTCTCATAGAAAGAATACATTTAACTGCAGCTATACCATTTGTTGCTACCAAAATCTTAAAATTAAAAAAATTTTTGTCCGCAAAAAATGTCCGCAAGTCAGCATTTTTATTTTCTAAAAGAACATAGATGGTTACTTTCAAATAATGAAATCAATAGGCTTACTTAGCAAAAGTTGTGATTTCTACCCCACAAAATATTTATTTTCCTTAAAAATAAAATTGCGGACAAAACTTGCAGACTTTTAGGAAAATAACTGAAAAGAGTCCAAAAATGTCTCTACGAACATAGAAACTATGTTTTCTTCAACAGACAATAATAAGGGGAATTTTGGGGAGAAAAAGATGAAAACCTTTCTAATGCTTCTAGCTTTTGTAGAGTCTTCACAAAAATGATTAACAAAACCGTCAATGTCATTAAAAACGAGATTTTTTTGATCAACCTTTTGAAAAAAAAGAATTTTTTTTGAAAAAAAATAATTTCGTTTACCAAATTACTGCTCGAAGTAGCCGAAGTTCCATCAAATTTGCTAACTCGAAAAGTTTGTATGCTGGGTAAAGTCATTTGTCTAGGCATTTTTAGTTTATTTTAATTGAAGATTTTAGTTAATTGAAGATGAGGTTTTGAATAATTTAGAAATAAAAAATGCTAAAAAAATTTTGGTTATTAAATTTTTGTCCGCAAGTTTTGTCCGCAAATTACAAATTAACTTGAAAAATTTCTAAAAGAAATCTAAAAATTAAAAAGTAAAAGCAAGAGAAAATAAATGTCGATGAAATTAAAACAAGTATATATAGGGAGGGTGGGGGTGTGTGGAAAAATAATAAAAACACAAAATGATTAAGGAAAGATTTAGGAAAAGGGCAAAAAATAAATAAGTTGGATGGGAAAATATTTGAAATATGTAATGAGGGAAATATTTAAATATATTAATAAACGTGTCGGGACAGAACATGGAACGGACAAAACACGGAACGACCAAAATACGGACTATACTAAAACATGGAACAGACAAAACAAGGTCTTTCCATAACACGGAACGGACAGAACACGGAATGACCAAAACACGGAACTTTTAAAATCATATTTTTTTTAAAAATCAGAATTTATTTAAATCAGGATATTGGTGAAAATAGACCATACCGTGTTTTGGTATGGTCCGTATTTTGGTCGATCCTTGTTTTGTCTTTTCCATGTTTTGCTTTAGAAAAAGATTCTGTTTAATGAGGACTTTAGAATGAGACAAGATCTATTCAGATCGGAAAGAAACTAAAAAAAAGTTTTAGTGATCAAAGTTGGCTGGAACTAATGGATCAAACAAGTCAATGTCGTAGGAAATCAACTATGAATTGAAAATGAAAGTAGCCTAGTGTTGTACCTTGGAAATGTTAGAAATAACTCAGAAATACATAAACTGTTACATACCGTATTTACTCAAATAATTACCCCCTCCCTATTAATTACCCCCTTCAGCGTGAGATCGAAACAATAATTGCCCTCTCTCAAATAATTACCCCCCTATTTTTTCTACTGATTTTAAAAATGTTTATTAAAAATCAAATCAATTTTGATATATAACATTTTGCCGGTAATATCAAGGAATAAATTGGATTAAGAGGGAAATCGAGGGGATTAAGAGATTTTTGAGAGATAATGGGAGATTAAAAAGTTTTAAAGGTATAAGCCTTATTCCTTCTAAGCCTTATTCCTTATATCTCACCAAATCCTCTTAAATACCTTAAATCCTCGCTTGACTTTGCGTCTTTATATATCCAAAGACGGAAGTATTGCGGGTATAGTACTATTCTGAGGGCATTTATATTAAAAGAATTAACATTATATCCTCTAAACAAGAACAACCTCTAACCAGGAATAAACTTTATATATCCCAGGACGGAAGTATTGATGTTATAATCCGTTTTATGGAAAATATTAAGGGAATAATAAAGTTAAAACACATCTTTTTATCTCAGTATTGGGTAACGTATTGTATATTCCTGTTCATATGCCTATGATAAAATAATAATATGAAGGTCGAAATAATATAGTAATTGCCCTCTCTTAAATAATTACCCCCTCCCTATTAATTACTCCCTCCAGCGAGAGATCGAAACAATAATTACCCAGGGTAATTATTTGAGTAAATACGGTATTTTAATTAAAAATGTAAATTGGAGAAAGAATGTCTAAAAATAAATATAAATGGGGTCGAGTTGATATATGTATGTATTTTTATTTATAAATGTTAGTTATGGGCGTTTTTAGGAGATTAGGAAGAAAATATTTTTTGTCTATGAAATTTTCAAATAGCGTGAGAAAGTATGTATGATGTAAGCAAATTTTTAAATTTTTATTTAATATTTTTTTAGGCTAAACAAAATTTGGTACTTTTCCGTTATGACGTAACCCCCTAAATTAATGTCAAATGGGGCTCAATTTTGGGGTGAAAAATTTCATTTTTTGAATGATAGCTCATTCGAAATAGCTCCTCGAGCTGAGTCATATGACACCAAAATCAGCTCGAAATCTTGATTTTGAGACGAGATTAACAAGCTCAAAATGGTCAACGTAAACCTATGGGGCGTAGGCGAGGCGCACTCCCCACTATGGTTTTTGACCATTTCGAGCCCTATATCTTGGTCCACAGGCATCTTCGTGAAAAAAGAGTGGTACGGTTCGACTCAGCACCTTTTTCTACCCTATATATGACATTTTGAACATTAATTTAGAGGGTTACGTCATAACGGAAAAGTACCCAAAATTTAAGCAAATTCTTTGAAACTTATTTACTTTACGTATACAACTTTATTATTACCGTTATTACTTTATTACACATTTATATTTTTTTGTATTTCATGGTAAACCTCAACTGAGTTTGGACTCAACTGAGCTCCGGACCTTATAAATTAGGTATGTAGGAATGATCTCTTTTTTGTTCTCGGTACCATTATTTTTGGTACTATTAGCTTTTGACTCCAGAAAAAAATCCGAAAAGCTCGAAACTTCAAGGGGCACTAGGACATGAAAAAGGAAGGTCCAGTCCAAACCCAGCTTGATCTCTCAAAAATTTATTGAACAAAATTAGGATGAGTTATAATAAAATTATGAGTGGGAGGTGAATAATCTTTAGTAATTTTCTGAGTAGTATTCAAATTGTTCAAGTTTATAGGTTCAACAGAAGTTTTGTTGACAGATTTTTTCCAAAAAATTTTTGGAAAATAAAATTTTGTAAATTCATGTCGAAATGTATCACTAGCCCATAAAAGACTCCAACTAGACAGCACGAGAGTGCTCGTATCCATCACCCAAGGATATTGTTGATATACCGCTTTAGTAATTAGATTGTCGCCAAAAATATTCAATTGAAAAAGAATCCAGAAAAGTACCTGAAAAAAATATGTGAAAGGTTCGATCCTTCTATAAGATACCCAACACTTTTATTTAAGATACGTGATGATCAGATGTGGGTCGGAACAGTCAGAGGTGTCGGAAATCGGAAGAGCCGGAAATCGGAACTGGCTCAAAAGGCGGAACTCGGAAATCGGAAATCAAAATTTTTTTGGAAATCAGAAATCGTAAGGAAAAATTCGCCGGAAATCGGAAGTCGAAAATCGGAAATTTTCAAAACTGAATTAATATACAAAATTTTAAGGTGGCAAATTATGGTGCATAAAAGGAAGTTCAATCCTAAATCAAGAATCGGAGATATTATCGAGGGGTATTATCGATTTGGATAGCGGTGGATTGGATTTGAATTTTGACTATTTCAGCCCCTAGGGGTTTAAACTGGCGATTTTTTTTATTTTATTACCAGCATTATTGCAACTAGGACATGTCCAAACAATGTAATTAAGGCATAAACAAGCAATTTAATTTTTATTTTTGAACTTTCTGTCGATTCTTTTTTGGCCACTTTAATTCGATAAATTAAAAAGGTTGCTGTGCTTATAATTAAACAAATAATTAAAAAAATAATTGAGAAAACAGTTGTAAACTGATTCATCTTAATTGAATATTCACCCTGAAATTAATTTAAAAAATAAAATTCGTAAATGTTTGGCGTTGTGTTTGTGCGGGCTTTCGTCATATAAAATGTTATCTGTCTTACTCTTTTTGACTTACTATTCGTATAATAAAATTTTTGACAATTAAAAATATGTATGCAAATAAGGCATACAAAAAAACCGGCAGAAACAGTAGATAGAAATTTATATGAAAATAAAAAATCACCCCTATAAGCATAAATGTATTATCAGGCGCAAGAGAAAGTATAGTTTCTGTATTGAAATAATCATAAGAAAACAAAACTGGAAACAGTATTGTAAAAAGTATTGAAAACGGTAGCAATTTGCTCCATAACTATAAATTTTAAATAATTTAATAAGATTTAGGGTTGTATACTTCCACGAAAATCGGGCGGCATGAGGCTTTGGAAACTTCACCCTCCCGTGGCTCACAATGAAATTTGTTTACTGTCAGTGCGAATTTGGTATTTTTTGTAACATTCGATATAGGACCCTCACTTTCCTACTGTGAAGGGCACCTGCTTAAGCAATGTGAAGAAAGCAGAGAGTGTAAAAAAAGAGCTTTTCTTCCTCTTCCTTATCTTCAATCACATCCAAGGAATTAAACTTTGAATGGCCATAACTCGGCACAAAAATCCAAATAAATTTATAAGGCTTTAGTATAGAACAAGCGTCTTACGAACTCATAAAATAGACCATGAATACCAAGTTTGGGATGCTTAACTCTGGCTAAGATTTTGATAAGAGACCAGACAGGGAATCCTACCTCGATTATAAAACCAATTTTCTGCCACAAGGGGGTGAGGTTTAACTGTTTATCTAAGTTACCTTTTCATGATAAAAAGGAAAAGCAACAGCTGTAAATCTATTTAATAGAATAAATGTTGTAGCCAAATTATTTCCTTGAAATGTATATGTGCAAAGTACATTGAAGAGTGCCAGGATTGGTTGTGGCAAGTTGGAATAGAATTGAAATACTTCTGAACCAAAAAGTGTTGGAATTCGTGAACCATAATAAGAGTCCAAAACGTTTAAAGTATCCTTAATATAGACTAGTTACATTCGAAGGACCTCACTTTTGGTCAAATTCTTAGGGTTGAAGTACTGGTGTATTAGGGGTATGCCTTCGCCAAAAGTTGGCCTTTTTTGAAAATTTTTCGATTTTTAAACAGCTCTTCTGTGTATATTAAATAGAGGGTTTTACCCAACATAACTTTTTGTAAGAGGGAAAGGCGAAAAAACAGCCGAAACTGGTACACAACTGTCCTTTCCTAGTAATTACAAAGTCTAAAAATCTATCTCATCAAGGTATATCTTATAGTGTGATCATTATAATATAATGAAGGATGATGTTATAAAATACACCCAATACTAGATCCACCCCACTTTAAATCTATGTTGTTTGATGGTAATAGTGAGGCTTCCGAAGCAATATCCTCCTTTTAAAATAACCTCATTATAGGTAAATACACCTCATTATAGGTAAATACACCTCATTATATGTAAAATTATCAGGCAAAAGAAGGTACCTTATAAGGAGGAACCCAGGAGACGTCAATCTTTTTGAATACCCGTTGATAGGTGCAATTATCGAGAGGGTATCTTATAGGGAGATCCAAATATAGTCTAAATTCAAACCATAATAGCTCTCAAAACAAACAAAGCATAAAAAGAATTATGAAATTGTTTTTTAAAAATAATAACAATAATTTCAGAAATATATAAAATTAAGGAAGGTATACTTAACAAAATTGAAAAATAAATTTCTTCAGTTCGAAGAGAAACAATCCAGGAAAGAAATCCGGAATTTTCATCGTTGGAGGTGTTCATTGAGAAGTTTTAAGATAATTTAATTTTAATAAAATAATAAAATGAAACTTAATTTTTCTTTCAAAGTCAATTTTTTATTTTATTTAAAAATTAAATTATAAAATTTTTTTATTAAAAAAGCAAAAATTAATATAATTTGGAAGCATTTATAAAATAAATTATTAAAATAATTTTAAAAAATTTTATTACAAGGGAACAGTTTAATAAAATAAAGATTAAAAGTATGAATTAAAAAATCATGAAAAATAAATTCCCAAATTTTACGAACGTTCAAAAAATTCCCCAGATTTTGAAAAACGAATCGGTTAGAACACGATATCGTCGTTTGACATATTCTTGGGCCAGACTCCTATTGTAATACTACTACGGCGCTTTGCTTCTTATCTCAACAAAGTTAAGACAGAGGGGTATCGTTCAGACCTTTCCGAAACTCTTGGTCTTAAGTCTTGACTCAAAACATTTTATGGATTTTTTTCGGTCTTGGGGTCGTCTTGATCTTGAGTCGTTGAAAGTTTTCGGTTAACAATTTTGCAGTTAGTACTTGAAAAAGGAAAGAAGGAACGGGTGTAGTACGAAATTCAATTTTTTATAATCTTCTTCCTAGACCCTAATGCTGTTCTCGTTTGGTTCATTCAGAAAACTAAGAGCAGAAAAAGTGAACCACAAAAATGAACCAGAACTCCACCTCAAAATAAATTTATAAAATAATTCTTAGAAAATTAAATTATAGTGGAAGCATTTAATAATATCCCCCCAATTAGAAACAACCTAAAATTAAATTTATTTTTAAATAATTTTTTAGAAAAAAATTTTTTTAATTAAATTTTAGTTCAATTAAATTTAAAAATAGTTAAATTTAAAAAAGTTAAATTTCACGTAAATGCTTATTAAATTAAAAAATATCTTTTTCCTTTTCTAATTTAATTTTTTTTTGTTAACGCTAAATTAAATTCAAGTTTAATTGGCACTTGTGTCGTTTGGACGACTTTAATGAAAATTTTTCTTTTAAAATTTTCAGTTGCTTAATGATCTGTTATGAAAATAAGCTAAGGATTAGAGATCGTACCGAGCAGAGATCTCGTACAACAAGCTCGCTTATTGAGAATCGAGCTGGTTTGAGATTTTCTCTCTCGAATCTAGTATGACATTACCATGGTCTCTGCTATCTTTCCTATCCATCTCTTTTATCTCTCTCCGACTTATTGTCCGAATAATCCGAAAACTAAGAAACTGATTGAAATCATAAAGAGTAATTGAACGCAAAAATTTCTCGTTACTTTAAGGTGAACCGCATGGCGTTATGCATTTTTGGCTTTTTTGGCGTTTCTTTGGAATTTGAAAATCGCTACGGTAAAATAAGAGATTTAAGAAATTCACAAAATTTTGGTAAAAAATATACAAAAATATTTAAATAATTTACAAAAATTGCCAAATATTTAATTAAATTGAAATTTAAATTTATTAAAAATATCGAAAAACTAATTTCGAATTGGGCCTCTTTCGCCAAAAGTTCCTTGTAGATTAATATCACTTATCCGCTTCAATTTATAACAATTCCTTCCTTTTTCTTTTCTTCATCTTCCTCAATATCCTCAACATCAAAAGTTGCCAATTTGCTTCTAGAATATCCCAATTCTACAGATTTTGACAAACTTGGATGTTTAGGTGGTCGAAAAGTATAGATATATTTCAAAATATCTATATCATTAATTGAACTTTGATTTTGAATAAAATAGTTTCTGCTGTTATAATCAGTATGAGGAAATTGGTCGAGTAGGATTTGATACTAAAAAATATTTTAAAAATTTTGAAAAATTAAGGAAGAGTTTAGATCAATGCCACTTGGTTTAAAAGACTCTGATCTAGCAAAATACAAGGCTTATGGTACCAGGTGGGTTGACTGGAAGTTCCGGTTCCACTTCAGGGTCGGAACCAAGAAACTCAGATTGGCACGGTTTCGGTTCCGATCAAAAGTTCGTTTCAAGTGAAACCCTAATAAAAGTAGAAAGACTAAATATGAAAATGCGAAAGTCAGTTTATACAGTCGAAACTGGCACGTTACTTGCATAGGTGTGCGTATTTCGATAATTCCGTTATAACATATAATTACTAGCCTATAGGAGCTTAATATCCGTGGTGCTGTTTCCACGAAAAGTTACTCATAAGACCTCTTAGTAAAATTATACCTCATAAAAAAATGTTCCATCAGAAAATACTGGCTCTTGTATTGGAATTTTAATATCCAAATAAGGCTGTCTACAAGCTGGACATGTTAATGGAGATGCATCGTCTTCAAGCCATCCATAAACACAATCTTTGTGAAAGATGTGCTGATAAATTAAAAGGTTTTTCAAAGTAAAAGAGTTTTTGATCCAGCATGGATTATGGTACTTATCTTGTTTGGGTCTGCCAATATTTCTAGTTTATCGAGGCATATCTCTTTAGGACATGGTTTCTGAAGTATATTTACTATGCTTATCATTTACTTAAAGTTGCGGTCTTAATTAGAAATAGGATAAGAGGTGGAATGGTGTTTCCACGATGTGCTATAAGCGATTGAAGTTAATGGAATCGGTAAGTATAACCTCACAAAAAAGTTTTAGATTTAGATATCTAAACTTGATAATATTTAGATATTCCACCTTTGCCATACACCCAATTTTAAATATATTTTGAATAAACTCTGACCGACCCCAAGGGTTTTTGTAACTTAGAGGTCCTATTGTTTAATAATACATTACATTGCATTTGCGTCCAGTCATTGTAGGTCTTGGTTTATCGCTCCATTTACTCAAACAAATAGGACAATGATCTTCTTCTGGAACTTTTTTTGTTGATTCTTTATTTACGGTATTTGGTGCCTAAATATTAATTAATTATTTAAAAAAAATTTAAATCGTGTTCGGAAAATTCATCAGAAGAGGTAGCCCGAGCACAAAGCGCCAAGCGGAAAATGCGCCTAATCCCCAAATGCGATTAATCTCCTCAATATCCTTTATTTATATCTTTTACCCTCTCTAACCAAATCCCATGATATCTCTTTTAATCTCTCCTTAAAATCCCTAAATAAAAGAATAAAAATTTACGGTGACGTCGGGATTGAAGGATTCTATGGGGGCGTCGGAATTGATGGATGTGTTAATGGGCAGGTTATCCTCGAGCCATTTAGATACTTTAGACTGTCTAGTATCTTCTTGTAAATTTTCCTCAATATTCTCATTAGCTTTAGAGGTTTCTCCTTCATCATGTTCTAGATTCAGATGATCCTGTATATGAGTAGTTTCCTCCTGTAAATTTTCCTTTTTTATTTCAGAATTTTCTTCAAGATTTTCATTAGCTTTAGAAGTTTCTCCTTCTTCGTGTTTTAGATTTATTTGATCCTGTATAAATTTTTTAAAATTAATTTTTAATTACTAATTACTCTTTCCGTCTCAATTGATAAAATAATCTTGTTAAAATTTAAAATATTATTATTTTCCTCAACAATTCCATCCTTGTTTTTAATTGAATTTTTGCGGATTGGAATATTTAGCCTTGAATTCAATTTAAAATTGTTCAGAGCATTTTATTTCAAAAATATTTAAGGATTGGGACTTCTAAGTAATCGGAAATAAATAAAACTGTACATTATAAACCTCCAATCTAGTTTAAATGATAGGCAGAAGGTATTAGGGCGACTGGGAGCGAACCAACATCTTCAAACGACCTTTGTTATGCATTACGTTATCCTCCTGACATATATCCTAAACGATGTCATCTTTGGTTTGTTAATGGACCCAATTACATAGTTAGACTAGATGACCCTGAGACAGACTAGATGACCCTGTACAGAGTAAATGACCCTGAGACAGGCTTATATGCTATTTCCCGATTTGGAGTATTGGGGTATTGTTGGCATTTGGGGTATTGTTGGCATTTGGGGTATTGTTGGCATTCCGGTTATCTTACAAAACCAGCTGGATATCTCCTTTCTAGCTGGATCTTTCCTTTCCTACACCAAGTCTCCATCCTTACACCAAGTCTACATCCCTTTCTATACCAAGTCTCCATTAACGAAAATTAACTTAATTATAAATAATTTACAATATCTGAGTTGAGCTGCGTCTCTCTGGGAACAAAATACAAACCCAATTTTTATATTTATCTCTCCAAGCAGGATATACTTTCAAATTTTTTTCTTTTTCATATTTTTCTAATTCTTTATCTGCAACTTTTACATCTTTAAATTTAAATTTTTCAAAAATTATATTTTCATCTTCCGATTTAATCAAAACATTGTCTTCGTCATCAAAGAAAGGATCAGACTCATTTTGATTAAATAAAGTAATTCGAGCCCGTAAATATATATCCGAAGAGAAGGCACCGACAAAGAAGGTAAAACGTTTGTTTAAATGGGGATGGTGAATTTGCCATGAACGCTTAAAAATAATATTTATTCAGCTGCAATAAGCAAATGAAAATAATAATAAAAATTGTAAAGAATTGCAGGAAGAAAGGAAATCCAGACGTCTAGCATTTAAAATGCTTTAGCATTATAGCTCAGTTTATAGCAAGAAATGAGATTTCTTCCACTTTCTTCCACCTACATTCTTTCGCGCAAGGTTGATAGATCACCTGCTGATGTGGGAGAAAGTGCCTCGCAATAAATGCATTATGCCTTCGAGACTAGAGTTGGTCACGGTACGGTATCACCGCGGTATTTTTCGGTAATACCGCGGTATTTTTACCGAAAATACCGATACCGAAAAATCGCGTTTGCCTAACACTATTCGAAACTAACGTTTACATTAGTATCTTAAAAAGGTCCATTAAATCATAGAAACTGAAGCCACGAAACGTCAAATGAAACCGGAAGAAATTTCAGATATGTATTTATCTCGCCTTCTTTAAATGTAATGAAAACCAAAACCGAACTCGACCGATTGAGACACCCGAGGGGCAATTTATAAGAACAGTTTTGATCATGGCGGAGGTTGATGAAGTCTGCCTCAGTACATATCAGGAAGTGCATGTATGAGCCTCTTAAACAAGTTTCGATTATGGCGGAGGCTCGAGGGCCCACTTGGGAGGCAATTTGGCCTATCTTTTCTTGTAAATCCCAAGGCAGAAAGGACTAAAATTAATTACTTTAATATAGCCAGAGTTTCCATTAATTGGTATATCAATTTCAACCCATACTTTTTTTAAACCTTCAAATTCAATTCCTCTAATATCAGACATTCTTCTGTGATCTTTTGAAAATTTGTTTAACATATTTGTTTTTAATCTTTTAAATTTTTCTTTTAAAGTTTCGTCAGGTTTTTTAAGCAATGAACGATTAAATGAAAAGTCGAAGGAAAATTCATGTTCCGTTATTAAGGATAAACTTTGTGCAGATTCCTCATCAGCAATGGGATAAAATGTTGCTCTAATCTAAACGAATAGTTAATTATTATGGGAAGCTTTCGAACCACGCATTGAGGTACATTCCAATACTAGATATATCAGCGACGGATCAGATTACCCAAAAGACAACGACCAAACTCTAAAACCCGATCCGACACCAGACTTTTTTCACATCCCTAATATATGTACGCATCTATTTAGTTTACGTTTCTAAATTATGATAGATGCTCCTTAAGCGATCCCTCCTAACACTGAGCGGGGGAAAGTAATATCCTCTATGTAAGATACTCCTTATTCCAAGATAAGATTTTCCAGCCGAAGGCTTATATTAAAGTAAAGTCCGAGAACTAAAGATATCCTTTAAGATATCCTTATAGATATCCTTCATGATAAGAAACTCCTCATTATAAGAACGAGTAGAGCTAGAATCTAAATTTCAAACACCATTAGGGGTACCTAAGCACTAAATTTAAAATACCACAGAATATAAGGTACTAGATTTTGAGCTCAAAGGGTATATCTTATAAGAGGTTCGCCTATATTTAAAAAATTTATTTAAAAACATTGTAAAGCCTTCCATCTCTATCACCATAAGAATTAATTTTTGGTTCAATTTTTCCAACAAATTTAAAAGCTTTTTGATTTCTGCCAACATTGGGCTCGTTGACAATAGACTTCCCTTTCGGATCAGTTTGTAAAGTTGATTTAATTAAAATTAGTTGAAGCACAATTTTAATTAAAATATAATTTAAACAAAAATAATTTTCGAGTTTCATTATTAAAAATGAATAAAATGGGGGTAGACATAAAGCTATAGATGCCCTTTAAGCGGCATTTTAAGACGTGTAATTAATCCATTATTGCACTTTATGTCTGTATATTTCTTAATTTAATGTCTACATAAAAATTTTAATAATTTTTTCTTTTAAGAATCTTCTAAAAAATATAAAAACCTTTCAATTCCCAAGACTCGATAAAACAAATGGACGGGCATTGTATTTCTCAGGTTCCAAAATTTTCAAATCCATACTCCGAAGGAACAGGCACAATGCAGGAGACGAGGGAGACCTTCTTGAGTTATAGGGCCGGGACTCAATAGCCGGTAAAGACTTCCAGGACCTAAAATTTTCCGAGATTCAAGACCAAGACCGAAAAAACCCCAAGAAAAGTCATGAGTCAAGACTCATAAGCAAGCGTCTTGGAAGTTTCTAGTAGCCGTGATTCAGTTGAAAGACTCCGGGAATCAAGAATAAGGAACTCTCTTTCTCATGAGGAGGCAATTTCTCATGAGGAGGCAAGGGGAGGCGGAATATGTTCAGACCCTCCTCTTATGGGAAGGTCTGACCATATTTCTAATTCAATTTAATTATTCGGTGTGGGATTTATCAAAGACTTTGACCTTTTAAATTGCATCACACTAGCTATGTTGTTAGTTAGTGCCTTGTTTTTGTCAAAATATTGTTATTATTCAAAATGCTTCTTCACATGCACTTTAGCTAAAGGTCGCCTGTACTTTTTTAAGCATAATCGAATTAAATAAACAAGTCTGATGTCTTTATTATTGCCCTTTTATTTAAGAAAAGGAATTCTATAAAATGGTTAGCTGTTGATTTATTGTCAGTTTGTATTTAATTTAAATATTTTTTAAGGACTATAAAATTTCCGCAGGTCTCTATTAGAAGTAAAGGTGAAGCAGTGTCCTTGTAGCCCAATCCAGGTAGATTTAACCGTCAGGAGCCTGCCCCTGGCTAACCTAACCTTCAGCTAACCTTTCATACTCTTATAGTGAGGATTAGCTTAGAGGGGGGGGGTTGCAAACAGTTTCAACTGTCTGAATATTCATCTCAATTGAAGAGAAATAATAATAATGGCTTCCAAATTCAATTTATTAATAACAATAATTTCATTTTATTTACTTAATACAATTGAATCTGCTCCTCGTCGGCAGCAGCAACATGTTCAGTAAGATGAGCAGCCAACAGGAGGTGCACCAGAAATGCCTCCAGAAATAAATGGTGAAACTTAACTCTTATTACCATTTTCGGACCTCTCTATGAGAGGCCAACCATGGAATTCATTAAACAAAAAGACGCAGAACTATTAAGATTTAGAGAAACTCTTAAACGTGCAATAATATTCCAATAACTCCAAACACAGTTATAATTAAACTTCAAAATTTAGGTTTAATCAAATTTTTATCTAAATTTTAATAATTTAGAGCAATTAACGTTGGGAATTGATTCGCTAAATAATTTGGCGAAATTCAATTTTGAGTGTTTTAAACAATCAGTTGAAAGATGTTTTGTTAGTATTCAGACAATAAGGAGGGATAAAGTAAATAATTAAAGGTTTTAATTAAGAAATTCTATTTAAGCCATCAAATTGCCAATTTCATATTTGCCCTATTAAAAAATGTGTTAGAAGTGCAAAATATTATAAATTAGAAAATAATGTTGTAGTAGATTATCAGCTCAAACTTCCCTACTATGGCAAATACAATTTAAATTGGTTGCATGGTGATTTTTCTATTGTTAATGAGGAGGGTTTTAGAGTTTGGATTGAAGATATGAATTTTTGGGTAAAATAATTTCTTTAAAATTTAAGGAATTAAAATTTAAATTCTTTTTAGAAGAATAAATTTAATTTAAATTTAATTAAATTTAAAATTTAATTAAAATTAAATTCTTTTTTAGAATGAAGAAATTAATAATAATTTAATAATAAATTAATAATAAACTAATAATAAAATAATTTCTTTTAAATTTAAGGAATTAAAATTTAATTAAATTTAAAATTTAATTAAAATTAAATTCTTTTTTAGAATGAAGAAATTCCAAATTTGTATCAAATTCAAAATGAAGTTACTATACTTGAATTGATGCTAATGGAAGCATCAAGATTGCCAAAGATTGCCAGCACAATGCCAAAAAGCAGCAGCATTAAAGAAAATGATCAAAATATACAAAGTGAAAAATGCAAGAAAATTCCGGTGCAATCGGCACGCGATTTAGATGGTTGTTATTTAACTTATCAACGTTTAAAAAAACTTTATATACTTTGTGACCAAATTGAATTATTGAATATGACAATGACTGGCTGTTTTGTTCGTTTGAAAAATGGGCCTACTAAAAAATATAAAGTTATTTTTTAAATATAATTTCTATTGGTAGAAGGTATTTATTTGTGTTCCAGAAATAGAAGTTCCTATTAGGAAAATTTTTAATAGGAACTTTAATTTTCAGTCGACAATATTGAAATGGTTATTTCGTTTAATTATCCATTACATTTCTCATTTAATTTTTTTTCAAGCTTGATCAAGTCAAACGAGTCGAGATGGTTGAAGTTGAAAAAGATAAATCAACAAATGAAACCAAAAGTAAAGAGTTAATTTTACATCTCAATTTTATTGGCGCAATTACAATGAGCAATCTATTTAAAGCTTCTTTTCTCTTTTTTATCTCTTATAAATATTTTCACACTTAGTAATTAGACTAAATTTTTATTATCTGGGAAAATATTTTTTTCTAAAAAGCCTTTTTAATTGGACAGGCTTTTATTTCGTTTAATAGTACTACATTTTATTTCTTTGATCAGATATAAAATTAAAATTAATTTACAAAAGAATTTTCACTTTTTGCTTCTTCTTTTTATTTGTATTTTTGTTACTTGTTATTTTATTTTTTTATAAAAATTTTTATAAATTTTAATTTATAATCTAAGGTATTTTTTGTTAATTTTCGAATATTAATTTAATTATTTAATATAAATTTAAAGTTTTTTTATTTAAATCATATTAGATCATATTAGATCATATTATAATATTTAATTGTTTAATTTTTGACTCTTCTTCTCAAAAAGTTGAAAAAATATAAGTTATAAAAAATTGTATAAAAATTAAGTATAAATCTTTAATTTTCCTTTTCCTGCCTATTACCTATTTAAGATTAACACTCAAAATTATGCTTTAAAAACTTTTTATTTAATTAATACACTCTGTTAACTAATTATACGCACCCCCTATTTTTTGGGGTTTTCGAATTGAAATTGGGATGTGGCTTTCTAGTTTTTTATGTATTAATTCTACAAGTAAAAGCAAATTATTAAATATTTGTGATTCTCATATTTTTAAGTAATTCAAATTGAATTTTACTTTATTTAAAATTTTAATAATAATCTTTTTTAAGCCTTGTTAAATTACATATACCGTTAATGCTGAAACAATTACCCTATGTAATTATCGTTTCAATCGCTCGCCGGGAATTTCTAATTAATAGGGAAGAGGGGGCCGATTTTAAGTACTATATCTTATCAAATTAAGGCGAAATTGTTTTATTTTTTGATATTAGTCTTAAAAAGTTCCATTAATTTTATTTGATAATAATTTTTAAATAGGTATTTTTAAGATTAGAGCATGAAAACTAGGGGGTAATTATTAGATTGCGTAATTTTTAAATAGATTCATTATTTTACAGTTATGGTATACATAATATTAAAATTAGTTGCTTTATTAAATATTTTAAATTTCTGAATTAAACTTTTTTTTATTTCTTTAGCGGGTCATTTTCATTTACAGTGTTTTGTGGGATGATTCTTTAAAATCTATAAACTTAGAATATTGTTCAATCTTCCTCAATTTATTCCCAACTTTTAATAAAAAATAATTTTTAGATTTTATCCGTCATTTTAACAGAAAAGTGGCTTTATTAACAGAAAAATGGCTTTATGCAGAAAAGTAGCGGCTACGACTTTATTTTAAATACTAATTTAATTATCTAATACGGATTTCTAGTTTTTTCATTTAATATCTTATGAAATAAAATATTATAAATTAATATTTTTACATAGTAAGAAGACTTTTTTTAAATAAAATTGTAAAATAATTTAATATTTCGATCATTTAGGTAATCTTGTCTCATTCCTAAAAATTGAAAATTTTTTTAAAATATTTAAAATAGATGTAAGAATAATTTTATAGATCCATGTGCATTTAGCATTGTTTCATTTCCCTATGCTCGCTTATTATTAAATTTGTATTAACAATTAAGTTTACCAAAAAAAACTTTTTTTTATATTTTATGTAAAGTGAAGAAGCTAACTTTAAGTTTCAATTCTATTGGACTATTGGTTTACTGACAAAATTTTCTTTTTTCCCTTCTTTTCTCAAATGGATTACAAATGATTAATATTAAGATTGGCAAATCGGATTTGATAAAACACCGGATACCTAGAAAATTACGGGTTGGATATTGTATCTAAATATTCGAAGTCTGCCTTCTTTTTATTTGTATTTTTCTTAATTGTTATCTTATTTTTTATAAAAATTTTTATAAATTTTAATTTATAATCTAAGGTATTTTTTGTTAATTTTCGAATATTAATTTAATTATTGAATATAAATTTAAGTTTTTTTTATTTAAATCATATTAGGGAAATGTGATAAAAATTCTATTCTCTTACCCTTCTTTTTTAATTAAAGTCGTAAAGATTGTCCGGTGATGGATTATGCCACTGTGATGAATTAGGGGCCTTTTCAAGGCCTTCTTAAATCCCTTAAAAGACATTGATTACTCTGTATAAAAGTTGATTTGATAATTTAATCTTACATTTTGTCTAATTTTAACTTTAAAATTTAAACATATACAATTTTTTTATTTTAGAATAATATTTTAACATTATTTGATTATTAGTTTTAATGAGTAGCAATTCGAATTTTTATCCGTAATAATTAATAAAAAATAAAAATATGTATTTAAAATAAATTTAGTTTCGACATCAA